CGGATTGTGTAAATCGGCCAATGGTTCAACAAAAACCATAGGCCACAAAGTGCCAAGAAGGCATGTTGGACATGCTAGAATGACCAAAAGCAATAGAAACATGACCCAGAAAGGCAGAAACTCTTGACCATGGGGTTTCAAGAGGCCGGTGGGCAAAAAATACCAAGAAACTAAATTGTTACCAATCAATTACTAGACATTTAGGGGGTCTATCAGTTGCTAGACATCTTGGTCTCAAATATTATTACTAAGCAAATAAATTGTCCCAACCAATAGGATAGTCCCCATGGCCTCAAATGATTGAGCGACCTGCAGTGAATTAGCTGAGACATTCATTATCTTAGTTGGTTCATATTATCAAGTGACATGAACATTCTAAATTTCCCTAGCGATAATTGTTAGCAATCAAAGTGGATATGATGCCGATGAACATATAGCTCAGTGGTTAAGTCTCGTGCCCGGCCTAAAGAGAAGACCATGCCAGGGTGGTGGTTTTAAGAAAAAATGGTCGAAAAACAGAAAACAAGATACTTTAATGATGAATGATACATTAATGTTGAATGCATTCATGCTATGCATTTGTGCTAGTTGCGTCTTGTGCTTTTGCTGTAAAAAGTTTTCAAAATTCATTGAAACATTAATTCGAATGTTTTGGGAATTTTCTAAAATTTTGATTTTTTTTTTCCATTTTTCTAGTGCTAGGTCTAATTTTTGTGACATTCTACATGTATTTTCATGAGCTCTGATATTTTATTTGGATTTTTCATATTACAAACTATCTCTAGGATTTTTATTGGATTTTTTAAAAGCTTAGGACGCTTTTATGGTTTAAAGACCTTAACAAGTATTTATCAAATTTTAAACTACAAACAGGAAGAATTGCCATCAAAACCACTTCAAATCAGGGGGCGGATGTAATTTGGATGGTTTTGAGACTTCATGGGAAATGTCTAGTTTTAAAGTTCAAGAAGTAAAATCAGATCACGTCGACAATTTAGTAGAGAGAAAATAAGGAAAAGGCTTCTTCATGTATTAGCCCAACACGAATATATGACATTTACACCTCTTATGTTAGAGAGGTCTGTACTTTCCGACGAGGCCCACCTCGCTCAGCCCGCCCATGGATAAAGAAAGCCCAAGAAGAAAGACAATCGAGGATTTGCAGTGGGATTGAGAAACCAGCCCATTAACTAGCGTCCTGTTCGTTTGGACTTGTTTGGCTGATAAGCCATAGCTGAAAATACTGTTGGCTGATTTGGTGTGAGAGAAAAGTACTGTTCGTTGGCTGAAAAAGTACGGCTTATAAGTCAAACAAGCCCAAACGAACAGGGCGTAGACTAGTCTTGCTCTTGCAACACATGGTCGGTCACATGGACGTCGCAAAAAAAAAGGTCAGTCACATGGAGCGAGGTAAATCGGTAGCCGGAATCCCTGAGTGCATTTCTTATGTTATTAGAAGCCCGGTAGGTGTCACCGTGTTACTGAACTTACATGAAATGTCACAAAAGAAATATGGATGGAAAAATGCAATTATCCACCATGAAATGTGTAGTTGCAAAAACTTATATGAAGTATCTCCTTGCACAAAATTCCCTTACAACTCAATGTTTGTACCATGTCACATTATAGCATTCTCTATCGATATATATTTTTAGATGTGTTACCATTAATCTGTGATTGGTAATTCTGTAACACCGCCTAGGCATGGTAACTCACCACGTGAGAGGTGAGATGGGTGCATCCATGCCAGCAGCAGGCTAAACAATGCAACCTGCAACTGCAAACCGGTTGCAGCAGCAGCCGAGTGTTTTTCTTATTTCTTTCTTATTTTTTTTATAAATATAATGCAGCTCCTCCATCCCGAGCGTTGAAGTTGAAGACGACTTGTAGCTAGCTTAGCCACGAGTTAGGTGCCATCGGAAAAAAAAATAGTTGTTCTAAAAAAAGAAAAAAGTAATTATTATTCTTAAATTGTGCCACTTAGTTTTCTTGGTGATGATTAATTATCTTTGCTGTCATGGTTTGATTGACGCTGCAATATACCAATTATTGTTAGTACATGTATTATTCTCTAGACGATCGAAAATGACGGTTGCTTGCATCCATCATTATGGTACTGATGGATGGATGAGGGATATATTTCAATGTCCCGGTTTTTTCTTCGTGTCAATCAGCCGATTCATCTTAGGATGTGTTTGACAGGGCTCCTCTCATAAACGGATCTGCCACCAGGGTTGGGGGGCTCAAGCCCCGTACCATGGCTGAGCACAATGAACCCCCTAAATTTTTTACATCCTTTGGAGGAAGTAAAGGATGAGTTTGAGCGTTGACCTGAGGTTGAAGACGATGCTGGAACACTCCTAGGCCATAGGGCATAGGGCCAGCCTGGACGCCTAGTAGAATTTTAGCCCCCAAGCCCAAGTAGAAGTAGAAGAGGTGGAGCCCAATAGGAAAATGACCTTTTTTCCCTTTCTTCTTTGGTTCTCCCAGCTAGTTACTAATTTGAGCATAATGATTTGACCTCTCATAAACGGATACGCCACCCGGGGTTGGGGGCTCAAGCCCCGTACCATGGCTGAGCACTGTGGAACCCCCTCCCCCTAAATTTTTACATCCTTGGAGGAAGTAAAGGATGAGTTTGAGCGTTGACACGAGGTTGAAGGCGATCTTTGGAACACTCCTAGGCCATAGGGCATAGGGCCAGCTGGAGGGCGCCTAGTAAATTTTAGCCCCCAAGCCCAAGTAGAAGTAGAAGAGGTGGAGCCCAATAGGAAAATGACCTTTTTCCCTTTCTTCTTTGGTTCTCCCAGCTAGTTACTAATTTGAGCATAATGATTTGATTGCTTTGAAGTCTTGCATCTTCACTTGAAAATATGGTATGGACTGTTTAGACACATAGATTTCTAGAGGATAGCTTCATGCCTTCCATACTGAGTGAACTTAAGTCCCCTTGGATTTTCATGCTTGATCCATGTTGGCTCCTCTGTTTTTTTTTTGAAAACGGCTCCTACAAAACGTTTGGTAAGGCTCCTTCGGAGGAGCCGGAGCCGGAAAGGAGCCCTACCAAATAGGCCCTTATTCTCGCTCGCGTGTCGCCCATGCATGCTCCCTCCCTCACCACCATCTCCGTTCGAGGCGGTCGGGGATGAAGTTAGAGAAAAATTAAAGAGGGATGTCATCTGGTGGGCAGCCATCGGCGTGTCGGCGTGAGTGGATTGTTCGATATAGTTGATTAAATGGTCGTTGCGGTGAAGAAAAGATGCCATGTATATGTCAAAGGGATGGTGGTTCTGTAGGCCTACTCTTCCATACACTTGCGCGTGCAAGATTAAAGTGTCTGGTTCTGCACGAGAGGTGGGATAAATGGTGTCTTTCTTGTAGACGCTAGAGGAGGAAGACGAACAGAAGAGAATGAATAATGGGAGTCACGAAGGCGGCACCACACCATATATGTCGTGGCAGTTCCCATGCTCGACACGACACGCACATGCCACGGCTTGACGAGGCGCACATGTGCACGCATCCACGCACCTTCCTCATTCCTCGACTTCACAGCAAGTACACATAACAGTCATCTATTTAGGTTCAATCAACCTCTTATCAATTTTTGGAACAGAAATACACCTTTATTGCACATAATAATGTATTTATATCGGCCTTAGGATTTATTTTGATTTAACTGGATATATAATGGCCAAGAAAATAATTAAATCCAAAAGAGTGAAGCTATATATACACGCAGTCAACACCATCATGATGTTGCAAGAGACATGAGGAGAAGATGAAGATGATGCAGATGGCATGGATCAAGTCAAGTCAACTGGCGTGAAGAACCTTGGAAAAGGACACACGTCTTGGGTTGCATCGTGCGCTTTGCTCGTTTGGAAGGTACTATCTCTTGGGTTGCTGGGACATGTATAGGTCTTGCTCAAGAAGAAGTTACATGAGAAACTTCCCTCATCTTCTTTCCTTGCACTAACCAAATCTTTTTGCCACTCACACTGCAAGGAAACTGTTCAATTCCGATGGACAAAAGCTGACAGGATATAGTGTTCCTAACTATGAACCTTCAAGAAAGACCCTAAGTTAGATGTCAAAAAACTTATGTATCTAAAAAAAAGGGTCAAAACGATCTGTAATTTGGAAGGGATGTATCGGATGGAGTATATACTATTGTTACCGGTCAGTCGGCTTTGTATTGAACTAGTAAGGCTGAGGTTAACAGATGGTCAGATGCCATAGCAACCAGCAGGCTGCAAGGGAAGCGCGATATACTTCCTCCGTCCAGAAAAGAATGCAATTATGAAAAACGTGACAGTCAAGCTAGCCCAACTTTGATCAAGTTTATAGTAAATAGTATTAGCATTTATGTCTTGAAATAAATTTATTATGAAAATACATTTTATAACTAATCTAATGATATTTATTTTGTCTCGTAAGTGTTAGTATATTTTCATATAACTTTAGTCGTTTAACTTATCTAAATATGAGAATTGGATCGTTTTTTAGACGTACGTATAGTGTGTACTCACTGCATCAGGACACATGGTGGTAATAGATAGATATAGATGCCTCGTCATCAGCATCGTAGCAATCAATCATGTGCGAGCGAGCACGCAATGATCCGGTCCGGTGCAGCAATGAAGGAATCCCACGTGGCATGCATGGCTTGGCCTTGGCTTGGCTAGCCAGCTGGCGTTGCAGTGTCCGTCCAGGACTCCAGGGGCTGGGGGCTGGCTGCTCATCAGCAGCTCAAGTAGTCACCGCGGGTCGTGCCGACCAGTTGCAGAACAAAACCAGAGTCCAGAGGGGACCTCCCCGGATCCCCCATCCAGTTCCTATTCTTTGCCTTCCCTTGCGTTGCCACAAGAAAACAAGCAGCAGCTGCCTGCCTGTAGGCTATACCATACCATACCAGGATCAGCTACAAGACAGAGAGACCATCCGCCCGGCCGGACCCCGAGCCATCTGAGACGACCATCTCCCATCAGGACATCAGCATGAGCTGCAGCTCGCCGCCGCCGCTGGAGCATCATCACGACGCCGGCCGGACGAGAGCCCCGGCTCTGGACCTGCTGGACGAGTACTGGTTCTTCAGCAACACCCTCGTCACCAATAACAGCGCCAAGAAGAAGACGCCGCCGCACCTGCCCAGGTCGCCGTCCACCTCCACAGCCACAGGCACAGGCACAGGCACAGGGGAGAAGGCCTCGGCCTCGGCGGGGCCGCCGTCCAGGCTAGGGGGCCGGAGGCTGCTCCGGACGCCGTCGCTCCCGACGTCTCGCGTCGGGATGACGACGATGGAGTTGCCCTTGCCCACCAACAAGGATGACGACGACGACCTGGTACATCAGGACGGAGCAGGTGCTGCTGCCAGTGCCAGTGCCAGTCGACAGCCCCAGCGACGGCAACTACAAGCAGCAGCAGCAGCAGCAGCAGCGGATGAGGTGGACGACGATGACCTCAACTGGAGCTCCATCTACGAGGGCGTCCTGCGAACACGGATGGCGGAGGGAGGCGGCAGGTCGGCGCTGCACCGGGCGCCGTCCATGCCCGTCCCCTCGTCCGCCACGGCCACGGACCACCACCACCACGGAGGCGGCGGGCGGCGGCAGACCAAGTCGACGCCCAGCATGCTCAGGCTGCTCCGGCACTCGCACAGCACGCTGGGGAGGCACACGCCGCCCACCGCCACCAAGGTTCGTTCCTGGTTCCTTCCGACCTTCCCTTCTATGTCAATCACCCAATCCAGCTCCAGGCTGACTGACGACTGACAAGACAGATTGTTGTGTACCATGTCCAGCATCAGGCTGAGCAGAGGATGCCCAGCGCGGTGGCCCGGTGCAGCAAGAAGCAGACGACGAGCGGCTTCCAGTTCCAGGACAAGAAGTGGAAGAGATCCAGCGACCTGGAGTCCATCGAGGTGCAGGAGGAGCTGAGGGCGAGCCTGGCCGACGTGCTCCCGGGCCTCAAGCAGCAGACCAAGAGCAAGAGCCAGAGCCAGAGCCAGGGCCAGAGCAGCAGCAGCAGCCCCCGGCGGCCTTACCTGTCGGAGGCGTGGCAGCAGGTGCGGCGGCCGGCGCTGGCTAGGGTGCAGTCGGCGGCGGAGATGAAGGACCAGCTCAGGATGTGGGCGCAGGCCGTCGCGTGCAACGTGCGACAGGAGTGTTAGTTGCATTATTTATTATTAATAGAAAAGAAAGAAAGAAAAAAAACTTACACACACATATATATATAATATATATATATATATATATATACACATACAGTAAAAACACAGTATATAGTAAATTTTTTACACCGGACCCTGATCGATCAACTTTCCTCTCAAATTTCATAATGGATATACTACTCCTACTTGGCTAGCTGTGCAGCGGTTTATATACATTATCACTTAGTATCTCTCTCTTTTCATTGGTCGATTCATTCATGCACCCTGATCGCTTGATGGTTTCAGCAAGACTTATTCAACCAGCCAACAGTGTTTTTCTCTCACAACAAATCAACACCAGCCAGCCCAAACCAGCCCAGAAACCAACCGACGAACACACCGATGGATTGTAATAAAAAATAATAATACAATACAGTAGTAGTATATACATAGCGCATCATCCACTTGAGCGGGTACACTTGCTTGAGCTACAGCCATGAATCCAAACACAATCTAAAGGTGAAGATAGAGCATGTTCAGCATGTACATGCTGCAATGCAATACATTTTTTATTCTATCCTAGGCCGATATGAGTGTGTCAATCGAATCGAGGATGGGGACGCCACGCAACGCAATGGGGCGGGCTAGAGAATAGAGAGAGATGGGGGGATGGATGCCTGGCTGTCTGTCCAGACTCCAGACTCCAGGGGGTCCAGGCCAGCCCATGTGCACACAAGTCACCAGCAGACAAGTCCGAAAACGTTGCTCGGAATCTGGCCAGTTGGGCGCCAGAAACCTAACATGCGATGCGATGCGATGCGAGATCATAAACAAAAGATCCAGGCTGCAACACCCAGCCAGCCACCATCCTCTATTCGACTATTCCTATCCACGGCGCTGATTGCGGCCGACGACTTGCCGCTGCTCTGTTTTTGTTCCTGCCATGGCTAAATTGGCTATTTGGGAATCCACCAGGTCAAGCAAGCAGCCAACACATTCATCAATCATCACCCCTGCAAATGTAACGACCCCCGCATCTGTCACCATTTTATTCTGCCTTGTGATGTATTAATAGCTGCCAGACATTAAACACCTACGCAACCACTAGAAGCTGAAGAGATAGATATATCTACATTAACAAAACTAGTTGCCGAGGCAGTTCCAACGTACTAGCTTAGCTGAATAGCAAGTGTTAGTGCTGGCTTGCTGCATAACAAGTTCATTCAATAAAGCAAGGCAAGCATCTTCCATAACAAGGCAAGGGGGCCAATATATATATATATATATATATATATATATATATATATATATATATATATATATATATATATATATATATACCGTAAACAAAAGCTACGAGCACTTCGCCGTTGTCCAGCGAATGGCACCAGAACTAGGTCCTGTTACTTCAGCTGCAGACATTGATTCGTTTGGATTACCGGGCAGAACCTTTAGCATCGCCACTGGTTTTTTTCAAGATTGGACCTTGCAGAAGATACGAAGCCTTGTTTCGGGCCTGCATCAAACAAGAAGCTCAAAAGACAAAGGAAAAGGGCATGTAAAACTCGCATCAACTAATTTTTCTGTACCTTTGGAGCATAGAATCTCAGTCCGTGCACCCAATTTGCGTGGAACAGTTACGCAAATAATTCCGCCAAGCATCAACGATCGCAGTCTTCTCTCTAAATGCATCGCTTGAGAAGAGCAGGTTGTCCATCAACACTAGATACACATAAAGCCTGAAAAAGTCACATTCTTTCTCCTTCACGTTGATGGATGTGACTAGCTTCAACATCTTCTCAACGTTTGCCACCTGTAACAAACATACAACACAAACAGTCACGCCACCAACCAACCAAAAGGGGCACAAGGAAGCACATTTCTTAAACACAACACAAGTAGGCATTCTCATGCTTACCTTAAGGCCAAAGCTGATCTTCAGCAACTGAAGTGCCACCTGACTCCTTAGGAATTTGCTGCGCTTATTCATACCGGTAATGCAGTCGACAATCCTTAAACAATTGAGATCCACTGTGACCCTGTAATGTTATGAAAATTCACTTTACATCGCCCATACAGTAGAGAAAGTAAGTAGAAAACCATGGGAAAACTTTCAGGCAGCCTCTTGAACAAAGTATCAGTATTTCATACTGTGTATGTATGCAACTTCTTGATGGCCCCCAACCTATGTAATGTGATACCTTAAAATCCTTATTATAGGCTTATTAGTGAGCTAATGAAATTCTTTGGTGGAATAAATTGCAGACAAGCAATAAGTCCTACCCAGTCTTTCATGCCTAATTTAGTTACTCCCCACTTCCTGAGTTGCAAATGAATATACTACTTTATAACAGACAATCAGGCATCTACAGAAAAGTATTACCTCTGGGCGATTGACTCAGCTACCATCACACAGCTAGTTTCCCACTCACTTGTATCAAGTATAATATAAGTGAATTCAGGCATTCTCCCAAAACAAGCAGCAACCCTTCAAGGCAGACGGTCCAAAAGAGGGAAATGACAATAACAAGAAGTTCTTCTGCCTCAGAAGGTGAGAAGATGGAATGCACTTTTCTGCACATTAAACAAATAGAACAATGAATTAGAGTTAACTTGGTAAGAAAAATTGAACCTTTCTTAATATCACAATATTTGTCCTATTTCTCAAGGATCAAATGAACACAGAAGCAGGAATTGTTGTTACTGAGAAACAAAATAAATCATTATTAGAACATAGCGACACATTCCGTTCCAGGCAAACCTAAAGTCAAGAGAAGAGCAGGGGGGTTCCTGGCCAATCACAGCATCCACGACAGCAAAAAAATAAAGGAAAAAAAGATATGTGTCCTTCGATTGGAGTCCTACGGCAGCGAATCACCCTGCTGCCTTTCGGTGCTTTTAGGGAAACATTCTTGTACAGTGATTGGCTAGAGTCTGTGACGTTGACACTATGCAAGTGGCTGCATGATTCCCAACCCCATGATGGCAACGCCAACGGACATAGAGGAGCTCTGATGATAGTTTACTTTGCGTGTTGTAGACTCTTGTTCCTTGTTGGTTTGAGTGGGTCGGGTTTTTTGCTCTTCTTGTAAACTGGTTTCCCCAGTTGTATGACGCAGACTGTTATTAGCTTTTAATAAAAGCTGAGATCTTTCTCCTTTAAAAAAACAAGACCATTACATGGTGAGATACAGATATTATTTACTGCAGTGCCAATTTACAAAAAAAAAGTATAAGTGCTACTTTGACAGGAGTTAATTTACGAACAGCGTGTTGTTATATTTGGGGACTGGAAGAATGTTGTTACACTATCTCCAAGAGCGGCACCCAAAATACAAGACACATTCGACGTTTGGGTAGTGCTACAGGCAAATAGTTCAATACCCATTTTTGGTCTTCAACAACAGGACCCAAAACACAACCCTTTCTGCAAAATGCGTTTCTAGGAGAGAGGATGCTCATATTTGGGTTGTGTCTCTCCTGCTACCCAAAATGGGTCTCTTGTATAGGTACTCTATTGGGGGCCGAACTAGTACCATCGAAGACCCATTTTGGGTTTGGGTGCCCTTATGGGTACTCTGTTGGAGATACATATTTCATAGTGTTGAGAGAAATGACAACATTCTTTCAGGTTAGTAGATTGAACCCTTTGTAGCTGTAAGCCCTGCTTCCCAGGCACATTTAGTGTATTTAAGTTTTTAGTTAATCTATGTCATTAAGTCCTTGGGTAGCCCAAGAGTTGTGCGGGTACCCAGGCAGCTATTCTGTCTAGTTAAAGCTCTAGTGAGCTGTATGTAATCAATGCAGTACTTATCCTCTATATATTGCAATGCAGTCGCCTGGGAGAGTTGCCCTGGCTGATTCTTTCTCTGTTACCTCCAACACCCTTTAGCTTTGTCTGATATGCTGCTGCCATGTTGGCTATACTGATGGGGCCAACATGACTGTTCTAGAGTTCACAAACAACTATGGAATCACAGAATATAGTAAGATTAATGCATATGCTCATGCCTTTCTAGATATCTGATTGGACCTGTTGACAAATATCTACGCCCTGCCTGTTCTAGCATATTGTTTGATTGGACCAGTTACACATATGCATACCAGAAATTTGATTAGTATCCCAGTGATTCAGTGACTATAGTCAGTTTTTGGGGTCTGCTGTTTATTTGCTTGATTGATAGATTTTTGGCCCGTTGTTTATTTTATTATTTGATTAGGTACATACAAATCGATATGTACCACTACCAAATGGACTGATGAGAGGAGAGCAAGCTACCCTAGATGCAAGATGGTGATGTCCTACTCCTACTCAATCCAGTCACACAGAATACTTAATTTGTTTTGATAGACATGCATATCTGGTCTGGGTGGTTTGGATCTTTCAATTTGCCATTGCTTTACAGGAACAGATAGTTAAGTGTGCCTAATTCTTCCTTTTTTCATCCCATACACCATGGAGAAACCCCACTACAAACTGGGATAGCAAAGTTCCTTATTGAATCCGCCATGGAGAGTAGATTGAATGTCAGTAGGTTTCTAGCTCAAAGGTAATGTGTCCTGTACTGAAAAGGCGAAAATAAATGTTGAGTTCAGGCTTGCATTTCACAATATATATATATATAGGAGCTCTGCCATTCATTTAGGGATAAAGAGGAGTTACATGTACCATTCCACAATATATTGTACTGAACTTACATATTATTGCAGGATGTTTAGGCCAAGGATGTTTTTTGGGCGATAATCATATATGCAGATGAGATGGTGAGCTCAGTTATGTCGCCAATTCCAATATTTAGTCAGGTCTGAGTGACTTATGAAATATTAATCTGGTGATTATCTGATGATTCAAGCAAGTACCAGCTAAGGTTTCTAGGTCAGAGTAACTCCAGCAGGGCCCCTACTTGAGCCCTCGAAACCAAATTTGAGGGTTTGAGGCAAAGAAAAAAGGTCCAGCAGGGCCCCTACTAGAGCCCTCAAATTTGAGGGGGCCCTCAAACCCCCGCCTCCGGCCCTCATTCCTGGTGGCTCTGGTGCCGGCCCTCAAATCACTGTTTCCGACGGTTACTCCTCCCGCACGCAACTCCCGCGTGCCGCTCGCCCGCTCGCATCTTCCGCCCGAGCGCATGTTGTCCTTCCCCATCTGCCCAAGCGCGCCCTTCCCCGCGCGGCGGCCTCCCGGTGAGGTGGATCTCCCTGGCAGAGCCACTCCCGACCACGCCCCTCCCCATGGAGCCTTGTCCTCCCTGTCGGAGGGCCTCCCCTCCCCGTGGAGCTGCTCCCACCCCGTGCCCCTCCCTCTTCCCGGCCGCGCCTCGCTGCCGGAGCCCTCCCTGACTGCTGCTAGCATGGCCAAGTTTGTCTAGGAAGAAGATAGAGCATGGCCGATATTGTCAACAGGGAGAAGATAGAAGAAGATAAAGAGAATGACAAGTGGGTCATATGTGTCATTCTCTCCTAGAATGATTTTGAGGGCCTGTTTTGAGGCCTCCTGTTGGAGTGCAGCCCAGAAAACAGGGCCCTCAAAAGTAGGGGAAGCCCTCAAATAAAAAGTAGGGGCCTTGAGGGCTCCTGCTGGAGTTGCTCTTAGCATATAGAAAGAAGAGTAGGGAATATCCCAAACATTATTCAGAGTATTCTGCAATTTGCACCAATGAAATACAGACTTTGTAAGGAATGAAATGGAGGAGCAGTATTGTAGCTTGAAGATTTCTGCGGTGCTTTGGTCTGGCAACTAAACATGGAGTTTCTTTGGGGCAAGGCTACCTATGCAGATGTAATTTATTGAAACAACCATTGCAACGATGTTTTGCTAAAATGATTATGCCACCTAAAGAATATATACAGGAATTCAGATCAAAGTGACAACCAGCTACCACATGTCCATCTCTTCCACTCAACGACTTGAATCATTCAAACCTTAGTAGTACATGTTCTATCTCTCTTTACATTGCTATTTGCATTCTAGTTTCTAGTACAAATATTTATCCAAGAAAACCAAATCGAATGGAGCGGCCTTACACATGCAATGGCGTGCACAAATTACTAGTATTAATACATCATAAAAATGTCAGACAAAAACAAAGCACCAATACAAGTATCACACTGGACATTCTATTGTATACAGAACTTGACAGAACAAAATACCAAAGGGAGTATACTTTGAATTTCGAAACAAAATAATTAAAGGTTGACTTTACAGTGGTGTCTACCAGTTTAGGCTTGTGTGAGTGTGCAGGCTGAGATACTTAATAAAAATATCCAGTGTATTAAAGTTTTCATACCTGATTTTGCAGCAAGCAGATACAACTCCTAACCAAGCAATGATGTTATGAGGCAGACCATCATCAGAGCCACCTGGTAATGAATGGCCATAAGCTTAATTGGAAATATGCAAAAAAAAAAATGAGCTGAATATTTCAGAATCTTCACCATCCCGAGGGTGACAATTCCAAAATGGAGTGCATTGCATAGTAGTGACAGGTTGAGTGGCTGACAGCTAATTAGGAAAGGAAGAAAAACTTGTATGGAACCAACCTGCAGCGGTGCTTCCAGAGGCTGAAGCCTTAGTGCCTGGAGTATCGAATAGATACCCATAGCTCAGCATAGCACGTTTTAGAACAGAGTAACTTGGAAGATACCCAAGGTTGACCAGCGGTTTACCAGCCTGCAATCAGTAAAAGGAAGATCTGCTTGCTGAAGGTTCAACGAAAGAGCAAAAGGAGAACATGTTTCTATAATTATATAACCTCATCCAGGGAAAGAATGCCATCCCAAAAGTTGGCTGCAGAAACTTGTAACTTCTCATTGGATGAATGCAACACTGACATGTAGTGGCATAAGGATACAGCATAATGAGAGAACAGATCACCGGTCTAAACAGAGTACAGAAACCAATACTTACAGTTGGTCAGTGTCCACGATGCTATAGAGTCTTCAACAAAACCACATATGCGAACCAAATTCAGAAGCCATCCATCCAACAGCATGCCTTCGAGGAAACCCTCTCCTACACAAATAATATGAGGAAGACACTGAAATTAACTGCAAGTGACAAAGCAAAAACCTGGAACAGGAGATGAATAGAGACCGAAGACACCCATTAATGTTGATGACTAACAGATATAACCATACAGCGCAGTGAAAGAAAACAAAAGGTTGAACCAATTCAAACACTGGTGAGTTTTATTTTAGTTAAAAATCAGAACATTTCACAGTGGGAACTGGGAAGTGGGAACAGAACAAACCTTGATGCATCTCTAGATCAAAACCTAGACCTTCAATCGCAGAGAATGATTGCAATAGCTGACAATTTTCGACTCCCACATTGCTAAGATTTGAGGGGGGCTTCTGTAAGGATGAATAATTTAGTGGTTGGTAATCAAAAGGGAAAGTATCTGTAGGACTGAAAATAACAAACAGAAGATAAAGTTAGGGTCATTGGACCTGGCATCCAAAAATTTGCTGACCCCATGGGGGTACATCATCTCTAGCATCCATCACTTTGCCCTGCAAACTCATGAAGATGGAGAAGAAACATCAATCAATCAAATACGAAAAAGGCAGGACGGAACCAGTAGTAGTAGCAGAGGTTGAGGAAGACGATAAATCACCTTTTGCTGAACTTCCTCAAATATTTTGCAAACCGCAATCTCTTGCTGTGTAGACTTGTCGTCTTCCTCACCTGAATCATATCCTCCTTTGGGGCCACGCTTAGACTTGGCGGCCTTAACTTTGAGCTTGTCCTTTTTACTAGATTGCAAGTAATCGAGTAGGAGATCATCCAAGCCGATAACCTTGCTCCTGAAAGTATTGGGGGAATCGGTAAATCGTTCAAACCGATATTTGGCAGTTGGTGCGGCACGGTGATTAGACAGGTTCCAGCTACATATTACTGCATAAAACAAAATCACTACTAGTTGGCTGGCAATGGCAGGTATCAATCATTCCGCGGGGCACTAAAACCCTAAAGCGCAGCGGCTAGACGATGGGGTGGAGTTGACACTTGACGACGATGGGGTGGATTTGACACTTGACGAACACCGCGATTGCTCCAGCCGTAGCAGCGCCGGGCACCTAAAAGCACGGCATCTAATCGAACATCGCCATCCGCATGCCTCCGCCCGATGGGGAGGGGAAGGGGAAAAGAACGGAGCAGGTGGATCTGTGTACCTCTTGGCGGGGCGCGCTGTGGGGAGGAGGGGATCGTCCTCGTTCTCGAAGTCTAGGGGCTCGTCCCTCACCATCTCTGGAGCGTACCTGGCCTGGAGGTAGGTCGTGTGGCGGCGCCGGAGGGAGGGAAGGAGGGCGGGAGGTTTGAGGACCGGAAATGTTTTGCCTGCCTATATTTGACGGCGGCGGCGAAAGGCGACCTAAGGGCGCGGCCTAGGCTAGTGGGCTGGGCTGGGCCGCGGCCAGAGGGCCACGCCACTGGCTTTGCTATCGATCGGCATCTTGCGGCCTGCCCCTGTGATTGGGGACGATCAGGGCCAAATTAAGCAGCGGCGTGGGTTCTGTCACCGGCCACCCCTAGAAATAGCGAGGACACGATACGAGCCGCAGCAGGTTCAAGGATAACGATGGTCGACGGTGGAGACCGATTTCATCGCGAGGAAGAGGAAGAAGATGCCGATTGGGAATTTGGGATGAGCGCCAACTCGACGACGTGCTACCAATTTCAGTTGTGGCCTGGGAGATAGGTTACTGTTCTTCCTTGCGGCTAATTTCAGTTTGGGGGTTAGTTTTTATTGATGGGTTGCTGCACGTTCCTCTGGTAGCGGCAGCGTATGCTTAAAAAAAATTTCTGGCAGCGTATGCTTTTGCCTCTGCTTGCCCTTGAACTTTACTCACGTAAACCTAAAAGATATTATTGTTAGATGCACAAGAATTTTCACGGTGACACTAAAAGATACATATGTGGCGGGGGCACCAGCGCCCGGACGTCCGACACCCGCAGCGCGTCTGGACGCATCTCCCAGCCCCCAGCCAACCGAACCGTGGGCTAGCGTTATGGCCCACCAACAAGACCATCTCAACATCCCGGAAGGGGACAGCGTGCGCTCACGTCCGCGCTGCAATAGCCCGGCGCGTCCCGTCCACCGAACACCAGCACACCCCCCTTCGCCGGCCCTCGTTGCACCCCTCCGCATTCTGAGAAGAATGCAAGGCAGCACAAGGCGAGGATGAGACACCAATGCGAGGCAGAAAAAGCGAGGAGAGAGATGCAAACACCCGATCTATTTTTGAAACATCCAGATACAACACTTGCAACATCGTCTCGAGATAGATGAAACGTTTAAAACATGCATCTGAAACACTTGAAAAAAACACCTAAAAAAACACTTCAAAACAATTGTAACACATACGCAACATCTAGGTAAAACGCTTGCAACATATATGTGAAATATATACAAGATCCAGATAAACACACTTGTAACCTATGTCAGAAAACAGATGAAACATCGGTAATAAACATTTGCAATATACGTGCACAACCATTGCAACATATGCAACATCTCGATCCACTTTTGCAACATCCATATGAAACCCTTGCAACGAACCTCTGAGACATATGAAACACTTGAAACATACGCTTTTAGCGCATGCACAATGTCACATTGCTACTTGGACGAATGGAGCTCATCGTTGTGGAGCTCGACACAGACGCGGAGCTCGATGCCCCGGAGTACGCGGAGGTCGCGGTGCGGAGTTCATCGGTGGCACGGACCTCGACAGTGGGCGCGGCAGGTGGACGAAGTGCAGCTACGACGGGAGGCACGAGTATAGGCAGCGGGCAGTGGCTCAGGCGGGGGCAGCGCCGGCGAGCGGCGCGAGCAAAATTCATCCTATGACCGCGAGCGAGGGCGCACAACACAAAGTGGCATGAGCGACGCGGACGAGTGGATGAGGATGAGCCACGAGGTTCAGATGGAAAGTCACACAAGCGACGCGGTCGAGTGGACGAGGATGAGCCACGTCCGAACGAGAAGTCACAGGACGGACGCCCGAACCATATCATTGTCGTTTCTACCTGGTTCGTTTTCATTGCCCGTACGTGTTCAATTTTACCCACTTTGTCGGGTATCGATATTAGGGATACCCAAAGCAAGGAAGTTAGTGCCCACGCCGACTTCCCCGGATGGCTCGAGACGTATTAAAATGTCTCGCCCGACCTCAAGGCCGCGGGCTCCGTCTTGCCCGACCCCTTGAATACAGGCTTTGTCTCACCCGACCCCAAGGCCACGGGCTCCGTCTTGTCCGACTCCTTGGGTGCGGGCTCCGTTTCGCTCGACCCCTTGGGTGCGGGCTCCGTCTCGCCCGACCCCTTGGGTGTGGGCTCTGTCTCGCCCGACCTCAAGGCCGCAGGCTCTGTCTCGCCCGACCCCTTGGGTGCGGGCTCCGTCTCGCCCAAGGTCGCGGGCTCTTTCTTGCCCGACCTCAAGGATGCGGGTTCTGTCTCGTCCGACGGGGACCCATACCGCCGCCAACCACTCTAGGTCTAAGCGTATGGGCCTGGGTCAAAATTCTAATGCCAGAGAAGAGGCTAGCACGCCTCGATGTAACCCGTGGCCATGACGGGTCATACCTAGGGATTCACATCAAGAACAGTATTGGACATGCGGTGTTGTTCTACATAATCCTAGTACGGACGCTGACAGGCACGTCAGCTCATTATGACATCCACCGATACAGATTGGAACGCCATGACCGGCAGATGATGCCTGCGCATGGCGCTAATGACGAACAGGACCGTGACCTGGAGCCATCCCTGTTGACATCTACAGGATCGGTGGGGCCCGCATGAAGGAGAAGAAGGACCCGACAACCCTGGAAGCCTTCTTCTCTCTCTCATTCTTCTCCTTTTCCTCCTCGGTAACCCGTGCCTTCCCTTCATCTATAAAAGGGAAAGTAGAGCACCCCACGCTTGAGGGGGACATAGAATCAAAACACAAGAGCACGACACGAGCACACGGTTGAGAGGCAAGCGAGCTCTCAGCACCCGTTCACTCCTGTCGGTGTTTCGGACCGGGGGTCCTCAACCAACTAGTGAATTTGAACTGCGTGCCCCTAATCCCGAATGATGATGCAAAGAGACACAAGGTTTATACTGGTTCAGGCAATCGGTGCCCTACGTCCAGTCTGAGAGATCGATCTTGTATTCCTTGCACCGAAGTGCTTGTAGTAGGGGGTTACAAACTGGGCGAGAGAGGGAGCTAGTCCCAGGTCTTTGCGTGGAGCGGTGCGGGCTGCTTGAGACGTTGCTCTCAGGCAGCAGGGGAGCGTGTGTCTGAATCTATGTGAGCCTACGCGAGTGTTCGTCTATGTTCCTGCCCTCCTTTAGAAACAACCCCGATCTCTCCTTTTATAGTTGAAGGGGGGACAGGGGTGATACATGTGTTCGCTGTGCAGTGTCTTGTAAGCGGAGGTGGCGTGTCTGAGCCCTGTAGCTTATTACTATGGTGGCATGGTCAACGGAGTGGTCTTGTCCTTGATGCACTGGAGCAGCGCGCCGGACACACCCGATCTTGTGCGACGTGGGAGCTCCAGTGATAGCTTGGCGCAGGGCATGGCCGACGACGTGCCGGTCGCTGTACGTTCACAGTGTAAAAAGCCGAGGCTCAGTTGGTGCCGAGGCCGAGCCATCGTGGGGGGCTCGGCGGGCGTGAATCCCGAGGCTGCCGAGACCCTGAAGTGGATTGCCGAGGCTTAGAGGGAGCAGTTGGTCCTATACACTGATTCCGAGGCTATAGTGACCCGGACTTGACTCCCCACACCGCGCTGTTCCTAGAGCAGGAATTAGGTAGCACAGTGCGGTACGGACATCAGTTATGGGCACAGTGCTGAGCACAGTGGCCGGTAACCCCTGCCCACTCCTGTCTCCCATCCCGTCGGCCACTCCGCTGTACTGCACCGATGTGCGGCTGACGTTGCGGGAGTGGTTGGACGCGTGACGTTTTGTCAGAGAAGTCGGTCGAGACGGAGGCGATGAGGTTGTTGCCGAGCCGGCCTCGAGCGAGTCGGAGAATCGGTAACCCGTCCGAGGCCTAGCGGGGTGGGGTCTCGGGCGAGAGGGCCTCGGCGAGAGGGCCTCGGCAAGGCGGAGAGTCGGCCTTTCGTCCGAGGCCTTTGCGGTGCGGGCCTCGGGCGAATCAGAGAATCAGCCGAGACCTCGTGGTTGTCCTTTGGCATTGATATAAGCAAGGCTTAAGGAATCTTTTCGGTTCTTGCTTAGGGTACCCCTTTTTATGGTATCCGACAACTCCTTCCACCAGAGACTTGGGATCATCTCCCTCTCTCGCCTGTTTGTAACCCCTACTGCAAACCAAGTGCTGGGAACACGAGCAGTAGCAAACTAGACGTAGGGACGTTCCACCCAAACCAGTATAAACCCTTGTGTCCTTCGAGCACACCATCTGAGCCAGATGCGCAAATACAAATTTACTCATCGGTGGTCCAAAAACACCGACAGTTGGCGCGCTAGGTAGGGGCTTTTTTGCATGTCTCGACGTCCACATCAGGCCTCGGATGGCCAGTCACGGCGTTAGCTGGGTCCAGGGCACGTACGTGTGCTTCGGAAACCTAGACTTCATCATTACAATGGAGGGAGAGTTGGCGTAGCTTCCTGTCGCCGTCCAACCACTCCACTCCATCGGCCTCGACACGATCATCGAGGCGCTTGGGGAGCTGTAGCTGCATGCACCAGAGGCCCACGCCCCCAGGAGCGACTAGCTCCTTGACTTTGATTACGGGAGGCTAGAGCGCCAGCTCGACGCCTTTCTAGGACCTCGACTGTCCCGGGAGGACTTGCGCCGCGTCACCTTCTTGTTCGCCAATGTCATGACGCAACTTACCGGAGGAGAGCCGCTCTCCCCAGAATACCTCATCTAGAGCACCCCGATAACGCTCTCGTTTGGTCTGTGCCACGCCATAGAGACCGTTGGCCACCTTGTGGCGCAGCGCACGCCCCCATCCCCTACGAACATGAGTTCATGGGGATGACCGAATACGTCGTGGAATCTTTCCACGACCTTCTCGCGGGAGAATCAGAGTCGCCCTCTGACTCTGACTTCAGTAGAGTGAGCCATCACCCCTCGTGTGGGGGTATGGCCCCCGATATCAACAAGACAAGACATGGGCTGCACCATTAGAGGTGGCCCAGCCCACAAGATCAAGGCGTGCATGGCGCTGCTCCGACCACCTACAACAACCTAGAAGCTACTTGGTTACAAGGAAAGTATCCTATTTG